AATGAATTTTATTTAGGGTGGAGACTGGGGGTGTGGTAGATGCCTCTTGCCATGAGTCCCATACGACTGGAAAAAGATCCCAAAGGCACTATGAGGCCAGTCCTTTTAGGGTTATGATTCTACTATATATTCACTGAATAGCTTCCTGTGGTTCATCTTGAGATCCCAAAGCAATAGGAGCAATATTATGCATTATGGAAAAAAATTCTGAACCACTGTTTGGAAACAATCAACCCTACAACTGCAAAACGCCAAGAAATAATAACAGTGAGAACATATTGCTGCAATATAGACACTAAGATGTCTCTGTGACTTTGCTGATCTTCATTACCTGACTCTCCTGAGGCTGTGCACTGGCTCCAGCTGCAACACACTTGAGGAAGGAAATACTCTTTCTGAAATGATTTTATGTTTATGCTGTGACTTCAGTTTTTATGTGCTCCTGCCCTAAAACAATTGTACTTATTTCATAGTCAAATTTGATTTTTTTACTTACCATTGTTTTGTCAGGCTTGAACATCTGCTTAATTTTCCAGCTCTGGGACTAAATTATTTATATTTGATTACAAAAAGAGGACCTAGTCTTGTATGTGATGACTTACTGACACAGGATTTTCGGAAGTTGTTTTGAAAGCTTAGAACAAATGAGGAGTCCTAAAAATTCCCAAGCTATATTACTATGCAAGTTAAAATGAACAAAATATTACTACCATATGAGCCAGTAGGCTTATCTGAGGACTATGTCTTTTGTATATATATCATCTTCACCATTTCACAGTTTGCAAACTACTTTACATTTTACAAAGTAATTCTTCCAGCATCCTTTCTAGGTGCTGGACTATATTAAATGTGCAAGGAATGAAAAGATAATTACATATTGGTCACACCTTTAGACCATTCTGCCTACCAATCTATCCACCTACAGTTCATCTAGGTAACACTCAGCATATTTATTGAATTTGTAGTATGTATCAGAAACTTTGTGTAGGCCAGAGCAAGCATGGGCTGGTCTCTTCTCTTTTGAATTTGATAGTCCGCCACAGGAGAAAAGTAGATAAAGAAGAGTGTATTATAAAATATAGTAAGCGTCATGTCAGTAGTGGAAGAAGAGAGTATCCCAGGGTGCAAAGCCCTGAGGCCTGGCCACAGATGCTGGGAGAGTTTCCTATCTACAAGTATTTTACGGAGGAGTGAGAGGAAACTTTAGCTTACCTGAAAAATACAACACTCGAATATGATTCAAACAGGGATTGAGTAGAAGAAAAATTGGAGGTTAATCAATTGATCTATCAATTTTTGGCAGGTGTCAAATGGTTTTCCAGTGAGTATGATGAGATTTTAAAAAAGTGGATAATCATTTATTTACACCAGTGTTTTTCAAACTTCAATGGATATGAAAGTCACCTCCTGAAGATCTTGTAAATCTGTGGATTTTAATTAAATAGGTCTGAGAGATATATCTTACTGCAGATTTAATAAACACTCAGGAGATGTTAATGCTACTGGCCTGAAAACCACCCTCTGAGGAGTAAGGTTTTGGACCAATCCATGCCAAAGTTTTTCAATTCAGATCATGAAGCTAATAGAAATTTAATTTCAAAATCTAGCAAGATAGTGCAATTTTGCTTAAAATATGAATTAAAGAATGTATAAACAAATTGAATTTGGCAGAGTATTATAAGAATAACTTACCATGACTAATAGAGATTCAAGAAAGATTCAGTGCTTGGACTTTTACCAACATAATTAGTTATACAACAAATGTAATTCCTGTAATCAGTATATGCCAAAAAAGCATATTCTAAAATTCTATCACTACTAAGATTTTTATCACAAAATCTAATTAGATATGATAAATATATATACCAAACTAATAATAAACATCATACTATATGGTGGAACACTGAACATTTTATAATGTTCAGATATGTTGCATGGATTCCCAGTATTGTTAGAATTACTTAGTATTTTTGGAAGTTTTAGCTAATGTAATAAAGCAAGAAAATAAAATAATTATTAAATGAATTATTGAAACTGAAGACATAAAATTATCTTTTTTTGGTGGAAGATATAGAAGCATGCTTGTTTAACCTAAAGGAGAAGTGTTAATAAGATAATAATGATATAATATGAGTAATTAGAATTAATAAGACAATATGGACATTCTTAGTTCTCACTTACAGAAATAATTAATTGAAAGAGGATTGGTCACAAAAAATACATCCATGACAATATGATAGGAAATGACATTTCAAGGACTATTTTATAAGAAATCATGGGATTTAAGTGCTGAAAATTTAAAAATCTTATTACAGGTCACAAACAAGACACAAGTTAGAAAGCATAATATTTAATTAAATACAATAGTAATAATGATATTAATAATATTCATAGCCAAATGTACTGATTTATTATACAATATTGTACAACATTAAACTTTTTCCTGTCACTAGATTTAATTCTAATTTGAATTCCAGTTCATTTGGGGGGATGTGACAGAAAGAGGTTGAGGCTCATACAGAAGAATAAATATTGAAACTGGTTAATAACATTTTGAGATGAGAAAAGTATAAAAATAAACTTATGAACATTTGATGAATAATTGAATAAGTATAGAGTAGAAAGAGGATTTGTTAGGATTTGATGCCGAGTGAGCCCAGAAGATCTGCTTGCCTCACATACAAGAAATAATTATCTGACCCAGTCCTCCAGGCTTTAAGACAAACAACCCAACAGGAAAATAGGGAATGGGTATTAGCACGTAATGCAAAGGAGGAAATGATGACAGTTGATAAACTGGGTGGATTGTGCTGAACTTATCTCAGAGTGAAAAAAAGACACAAAATGCTTTTATTATCCTTTTTGGTAAATGAAAACAGAAGGAAAAGTAACATAAAAGGACCCGAGCAAATGGATATTCTCGTATATTGCTGATGAGAGTATAGGTCACAACCACAGTTTTGGAAAAAAAAATGAAAATACATGTTATATCTAAAAGCATATGTGCCCATTCATTGGTCAGCATGAGTGAAGTTAGAGTAAGGAAGTGTATCTATCATGCCACTGAATTAAAATTTATAGTTTTGAAAAGATCCTCAAGTTATTTGCGTGTACATTAAAATTTGAAAACCATTGGTATAACAATAATCATCACCTTTTAAATATTGGTCTGGGGGTGTAGTTCAATGACATTGCTCCTGCCTCACAAGCTCAATGTGCTGAGTTCAATCCTCGATACCAAAAAATAATAATAATAATTAATATTACATCACACTGAACTGAAAAAAAATGACTTGATTGTGACACCTGCTAAAAACTGTAGGACCATAGTTCTATTGCACAGCAGGTTGTCTTCAGTTAAGGATAGATTGTATATGCCAAAATAGAAGATTTTGAATGTTTTCAGTATGACGAAATGAAAATATCTGAGGTGACTGACATACTGTTCACTCTGATCTGATTCTTACACAATGGATATGTATTAGAATATCACAGTTTATCCCAAAAGTGTGTAGTTATTTTTTGTTAGTGAAAAATAAGACAAAATATTTTAAAAATGCATGCACCTTTAGATAGCTGTCCCTTGTTGGGTAATCAATTATTCTAGAAGAAAGGCATCAATATGCAAGTATTTTCTTATGATAAAATTTGTATTAGCATTATTTTCACTTGCAAGGGAAGAAAAAAAGGAAAGATAAAAAAAACCGAACATTCAATAATAGCAAATAATTTAGTAAATGATGGTACATGCACAACATGGAAGATATTGTAGCATAAAAAAGTCTGTGATGTATTTCTGTCTTTTGATCTAAATAGGGTCTCTGGCACTGTGAACTAACAAGAGCTAATTGTAGCGTAACATAATTAATAGGATCCCAGTTCGGGATGAGAGTCAGTCTTTACATACGTGTGTAAAAGAAAAGCGAATAAATTCAGAAAAGGCTGTTTGGTCCGGATAATCCCAAAGGAGTGGATGATGCGGGGTTTGGGGGCAGGGCGGATGAGATGGTTAACATTTCTTTAAAACAATGGCAATCATTGCAACAAATCTCAGTGCAAACATAAAAAATGATTAGCTGTTTGGTAGGCACAGGAGGAAAAGAGGGAAAAGAAGAAGGGGAAATGGGAACGTCCTCCATCTAGGGGGACTGACACTGGAAACTCCTGGAGGCAAAAATTAGAGAAAGTTTAGAGTGAGCAGACTATTGAACAGGATCACACTTTGAGTAGTTTGTAAACCAGCTCTTTGAATTTGGTTCGGTTCTGAAACCAATGAATGCTAAACGGTTGGCTGCTTTTAAAGGAGATACAGGCCAGATCGGATCTGAATTCTGGAAATGACCCTAGGAGTGGAGCGGAGTGGGAAATTGAGGATGGCGGAGAATGCCGAAGTGACCAGCAGCTGCGGGGCTGGGAGGAGCCGGCCCGGCTGTGCACTTCTGCGGGGCGTGCTCGGCTTCCCGGCCGACAGAAGTGCTGACAGCCTTCCAAGGTCCAGTTCTGACGCGCTAATTGAAAGCTCAGTTGCATCGCCCTCCAGGCTCGCTTCCAAGCCTCGGAGGGAGTACCACCAGAGGCGGGCCCGGGAGGAGTTCGCGGGCTTCAGGCTGGAGGCTGCCCGCCGCGGCAGGACTCACCCCGGCCTAGCTACAGCAGCCCCGCAGGCCTCGGCCTTAGCTTCCAGAGGGGCCACAGGGATGCGAGCGGAGCACTTTCCCGGACTCAGAAGCAACCCTGCATTATCAGTGTCTGCCTAGCAACTGAAAGGTGACACGCGGGGCCTTCGTTTCAACCCATTTCCTCTTGATGAGGAGAAGGGATTCTCCTGCGAGTTATTACCTGAAATAATACCATATGGTAAAATGTAAACAACATCTGCATATTCATGTAATAATTTCATCTGTTTAATTAGTTCCAGCAAAGCAGTTTACCCTCTGAGGCCCTTGCTGTCAGCTCGGCGCTCATACATCCAGGGCTGGCTGTCGGGGTTGACAGGCTTCTATTGTTCATTCTCTGCTTGCACCTCAGCAGTTACTGTAAGTGAATCTTCTCAGGGGTGGGGCGTCAGTCCCCACCGATCCGCAGATCCAGGGGCAGGAGGGGGAGAGCTGTCAGCTTGGCGTACGGGTACTAAAGACAGACTTGACAGATCAGGTGATGCCGAGGGGGGAAAACAGAGAGAGAGAGAGAGAGAGAGAGACGAGATTATTTATTTCTTGTACTTTTCCAATTTGGATGTGAGCTTAGATGAGCTTCCTGGTAAAGAGGTTTTAATTCTTTGCACCACAGCTCCAGTGGAAAATGTCTAAGTCAGATCAACAGCAAAGCAGAAATGGGGTCCTCCTGACACCTCCCCCCAATCTCAAGCCATGGACAGCACATTTGTTTAGCTAAATATGAAGCCGTGGAGAACAACCCAGATAGGCCGCCCAGAACGGCATAGGCATCCACTGATAAAGGACGGAACATTTGAAACGAAGAAACGCTCGTGTGTGCACACACACACGCACACAGGTGGACAGGCACGCATGCACGCATGCACACTAACACACACACTGCACGGAAGTGTCAGGCTATGCTTTTAAGCGGAAGGCGTTTGTTTCTTCCCCCATAACAAGACTGGAAGTGATCTTGAAGGTCTCCTGAGCCACGCTTCTTTGCTGGAGATCTTATTAAAATGCAGAATCTGATCCAGCTGGGTTGGGAGAGAAGTTCCAGCTCTGGTGTCTCTAACCAGCTCCCGGGAGATTGATTGCTGCTGAGCCTTCAGCCTCTGGAGCAAGGCCTTGCCTTAGGAAGGAGTAGGCATCTCGCTCATTTTCTAGAGGAGAGCAAAGATGGTTGAAATGACGTGCCCAAGGTTAGCCAGTTTATTAAAGTTGAAATCAAGGCCAGAAGTCTCGTTGTATTGAGGTGCAGGACTCTTCACAGGAAGCCACTTTTGGTTTTGTTTGTTTTTATTTTTACCTGTTACACTTGGGTAAAAAGCATTAGACTGATTTTCCTGAATGAATGTCAGTTGTGATCTACCTTAGTCTCTCAGTGACCAGTAATTTCTTTTTATCCTGTAAGGCCAAGTTGAAGTTAAAAAAAAAAAAAAAAGGAAAAGAAAAGAAGTTACAAACTTGATCTTGGTATCTGTTTCATCTCCAAAGATGACTCCTATGGCTTACTTCAGGAGGTGCAGGTTTTAAGGCAAAGAATCTGAAACTCAACTAGAAGTATGTGATTTTTAAATCAGAATTTGGAAGAACTGTAGAGACTTGTTTCTTTCTTTGATATTTCAATCAATTCATTGTCCAAATTTAATTTAGTCATCTTTTCTAATAGGAAATGAACTGAGTTTCATGACAGTAAACTGAAAGGTGTGTATTTCTTTCTTTCTTTCTTTCTTTCTTTCTTTCTTTCTTTCTTTCTTTCTTTCTTTTTTTTTTTTTGGTTTGTTTTTGGTACTGAGTATTGAACTCGGGACTTTGCACTTGTGAGGTCAGCAGTGGAACCACAGAGCTAAATCACCGGCCATGTTTATTTCCTTTCTTAAACTGACCTGAATGACTCAAATATTTAGGTGTGATTCTGCTCTTGAAAAATATCGGAACAAAAATTAAATGAAAACGTAGTATTTTTCCCTAGGGAAAAGCTGAAGTCTGGAAAGATAAAACCATAGGGATAAAATAGAGTGTTCCATAGCCACCGTCAAAATGACTTCACTTTGAAGAATACTTCTAACTTCACTGCGGACATTTCATCAAAGGAGCTAACACTTGTGACTTAGTTGTCCCATTGCTTTCCATTTTCAGTAATTTTTTTCTCTCTTCTAGGAAAAAATTATACAACTAATGCAAACTTTTTCCCCCCTTTCAAAGTACAATAAAATCATTCTTGAAAAGTTTCTCCTTCCATTAAGTGGCTTATACGTGGAGAATTTTATGCAGTCCTAAAGTGATGCCTGAATTAGCACTCTGAAAAGTCAATTATACTTTTAAAGCTACTGTCTATAATTGTTATGGTTTCTGTCTGCATGTATCCAAATTGTTTCTAATGGGCATTTTGGGGCATGGAGGTTAATGGCATCTTGGTGAGGCAAAAATGCCGCCAAAGCAGGGTTAATTTATCAAAATAACTTTGCATTGTGTTGTTTCTAAGCAATTGTAGAGTTTTCCTAGTCTACTTAACTCATATCTGGTCTTTTACAGTGCTTTAAAATAGGGCCATAGAGTTGTTTTTTTTAATTAATACAGTTGTTTTAGATCATTTGACTTTGAATTTACTCGTTAGTTTCACTTCTACTTTTAAAAATGAAAATAGCCCCTATCAAACATAACCCTAGATCTAATTAAGTTATTTTTGGTGTCTTGTTCTGTCAGGCCCTGCTCTCCCCTCATCCCTAATCTTGACAAGGGAAACATGCATCTCCCCATTTGCTGGTCTCTGACTAATCCAATGGTGTTAACCATGGCATTGGTCATGATCAATAACTAATTATTAAACCAGCATTTCTTTCCAGGGCTCCTTGTTAAAAAATTGCTTTTGGCTGAGAGAGAAGGAGAAAGGTCGTCACTTTGACATGGTCTTGAGTCTTTCAAAATCTAGAGGGTCGTCCAATCGAATTACTGTCCTAAACTAATTGATATAAATTTGAGCAGAAGAATGCTTGTTATTGCAGAATCTCACAATGATATACTTGGCAAGAAAATGTTAGAGAAGGGGGAAAAAATCCCTGTACCAATTGCAAAGCATTCACACCACCATAGCATTAAAAATTTAAAAAATTAAAGTTGGAGAAGGTGAGTCTAGAGGGTGGGGTGAATGACACATTCAGACTTAGTGCACACGAAGAATATGAATGCTGAGGTAGTTAGTCTCCATTTCTATAGACATGAAAAAAAGCAGAGTCCTTTATATATTATTTAATGTGGTTACTTATTATAACTTGCAAAGCCTTTGAATGACAGCTGTCAGGTCATTATTACCAAAGGAGCTTGGTTGGAGCCAGTGAGATAGGATGTTTTCTGAGTGACTCAAAGTTGAAGACAAGAGTTGTTCATACATCAGCACAAAACAGTGCATGCATCACAAAATAAAGTATTTTTCTCTGCTACAGCTCCTCCTACAACAGCCGAGTGATGAATGACAAGAGAGTAAATTAATGTAGCTTTCCCCATGACATCTTTTTCATTTGCTTATTGATATAAGATTAAACTAAGCCATCCAACATTTAGGTTTGTTTTGATGGAAAGTTTGATTGCAGAGGAACAGCTTTAATCAGGTGATGGAGCGAAAAGTGCACTACTGTTCTCCTAATTTGTGAGGGAAACGTCTGTCTTCCTCGTGTTTCTAATCACACTTCAGAGATGGGCATACTGAAGGGGAATTACACTCTTCCTTGATGACTTTGGACTGCTCTTTCTGGTCGGGCCTGCCTCTCTCCCAGATTCAGCAACTCTCCATCCCTTTATCCTACTGTATGCTGAAGTTTCTAAACGTTTCTCTTTCTCTCAAATGCTCTCTGCATGTTCTAACAGAATCTCCTGAAAACTCACCATGTGTTCATATATTGGATTTCTTGCTTTCTGTCTCTTTTTTGTCATACTGAGGATCCTACTTGGGCCATGTGCAGGTGTGGCAGGTACTCTGCACCGAGCTACATCCCCAGCCTCCTTTGCTTAGACCCCTTAAACTCACTGAAATATTTCCTTCTTTGAAAGGCCTGACTTCATTTTCAATTTTTATTAGTATATGTTTGTGGTACATAGTAAATACATTTGTTGTGGGAAATTGATACATATACATAACACATCTTAATCCTTTTTGCTTTCCTTTTCCTCCTCCTTCTCCTCCTCCTGCTCTTCCTCCTATCTCTTTCCATCCCCTGGCTCCCTTCCCATTGTTAAGTCTGATTTTAAAAACAAATCTTCAAGCCTTTACGAGTAAATGTAATCTCTGACACTCAAGCATATATTGCACATTCTTAGTTGATTGCCTTGATGTGTGGTTCTCTGATATATGATATAATGCTTTGAGTTTTGAAATGCTGAATTAAATTAGCTTTATTTTAAATATTACAATCTCTCTTAGATATCTTCTCTGTGACATTTATTTAGCTAACATAGGTAGGTGGTCACCATAGAAACCTGAGGACATTGAGTTACAATGACTGGGTTAACACTGAGTCAGGCAAGCAGAGATGGGGTACACATTTTATTTTAATTTTATAGATGAGGAGACTGAGACCTGGAGTTCCTAAGTAACTGCCTGTGAGTCCCAGAACTTACAGATCGCAAGGTATGAATCTGTATCCTAATCTGGGTTAAGTTGAAAGTCTGCTGTCTCCACCAAACACCCATCGGATCAGTACGTCCTGTTGGGGTTTCGGTTACTGGGAGAGGATGGTGCCAATGGTCAAATATGAACTTGGGCTGGACCTCTAGGATGGGCTAGTGGTAGCTATGCCTATCCAGGCTTACAATGTCCTTTGAAAATGGAAAAATAGGTCAGGCACCTGAGAGAGTGCATTTGTGGGACCATTGTCAAAGAGAAGAATTGAGGGCTGGGATACAAACTGAGACTTAGTAGGGTCATTCAAGTAGTCTTTGAATCCCCAAGACCCCCAGTGAGGACTTTTGACTAAAAGGATCTGTCGCATGCCACCTGAAATATTCTAGAAAGTCAACAAACTAATACCTAGGAAGGCTACATGGCACTGAAGTAACTGACCCAGCAATGGGGATTTACTGTCTTTCAAGATCAGTTCTGAGTAAATGTATGCCCCCCACAAAGTGAACCCAGGGCCTATGCACTGAAGCCTTTTTTTATTTATTTATTTAGAAACAGGGCCTAAGCTAAGATGCCAAATTGTCCAGGCTGGGCTGGACTTGCAGTCCTCCTACCTCAACCTCTCAGAGAGTTGGGATTACAGATGTGTGTCACTATGTCCAACTCAGAATAAGTTTTTTTTTTGGTGGAGGGACAGGCTCTCACTATGTAGTTGAGACTGACCTGGAACTCAAACTCATAGAAATCCTCTTGCCTCAGCCTCCCAATTGCTGGGATTACAGGAGTGTACCACCACTCCCAGCCCTCAGAGTAAGGGTATTGATGCTGAAGAAAGTACAGGTATTTGAAGCAATGGCTGGCATGT